TCCCCCCCAAAAAAGCCTTCCTACCAAAAAAAACCAACAAAAAACAACAAACACCAAAAAAAAACCAGAAAAAAAACCCAACTCCAAAACCAGCAACCAACAAGTGTCCTCTCCCCCGTGTGTCCCACAGGACAAACAGATCTCTGCGTCGGAAGAGTTCTCCCTCACCAGCACGCTGGGCGACCCGGTCAAGATCCAGACGTGGAACATCGCCGGCCTGCCTCGAGACTCCTTCTCTGTGGACAACGGCGTCATTGTCGCCAACTCTCGACAGTGGTGAGGGACGACCCTGTGGTGTTGTGTGTGTGTGTTGTTCAGTTTTACGTTCTGTTCAACACAATTGAGGTAGTTTAATGTCTTACAGGGGTCATTGTTGCCAACTCTCGACAATGGTGAGAGTAGACCTCCTCTTTTACGTTCTGTTCAACACAACTGAGGTAGTTTAATGTCTTTACCAATGGTGAGCACCGACATTGTGTTTTACGTTCTGTCAACGCAACTGAGGTAATTTGTCGCTTTTAAGCACAAGGGGGCTGTCCCGAGACTCCTTCTCTGTGGACAACGGCGTCATTGTGGCCTACACTCGACAGTGGTGAGGGACGACCCTGTGGTGTTGTGTGTGGGGGGAGGGGGGGTATTCTGTTTTATGTTCTTTGCAACACAAGTGAGGGATTTTATTGTCTTATAGGGGTCATTGTGGCCAACTCTCGACAGTGGTGAGAGCAGACCCTATTGTGCTGTGGGTGGGGGTACTACTTTACTCTACTTTCTTCTTGTTTACACTATTCTATTCCAGATCCACTTTGCTTTACTTTATTTTACTTTACTCTACTTTCTTCTAGCTTACTTTACTATATTCCAGATCCACTTTGCTTTACTCTATTCTACTTGACTTTCTTCTAGTTTACTTTACTCTATTCTACGTTATTCTACTTTCTTTTAGTTAACCCTTTTCTGTTCTACTTTACTTTCTTCTAGTGTACTTAATACTTTACTCTTTTTTTTAGTTTACTCTACTTTCTTCTAGTTTCCTTTACTCTATCTTAGTTTACTCTCTTTTAGTTTACTCTACTTTCTTCTAGTTAACATTACTTTGCTTAACTTCTAACTCAACTCTACCCGACTTCTCTGGTTTTGTCTACCCTTCTCCACTATACTAACCCCCTTCCACCCCCCC